ATTATTTAAAAAAGGGGGGAAAGTTGGAAGGGAAAACAAACCGGGGCCTTTAGGACCAAAGCCAAAAATTTGAATTTTTTTCCAATTCCCGGAGTTAACCTTTAAGGGCCATTAAAAAAAAGCGGGGGGGAGAGAGAAAGAGGGGGGAAAAAAGTAAAACACCCACACTTCTTTTATTGGGGAATCCAAACCAAAAAAAAGGGGCGGTTAGGAGAAACCCCCCCCCCGGCCCACGGGGAAACCCCCCAAGTTCCAGTTAAAACCCGGGTTTTTCGGAGGGTTTAGGGGGGAGGGGAAGTTGGCCCGGTTCCCCCGTCCCAGTTTGGTTGGGGGGAATTTAGGCCCCTTGAATTTTGGGGGGAACCCCCCTTGGTTGGGGAGGGAATTAAACCCCCCCAGCCCCGGGGTTAAGGAAATTCCCGGGGGGGATTTGGGAAAATTTTCGAAATTTTTGCCAAGGGGGGAAAAGGAAATTTCCAAGGTTTGGGGGCCCCCCCCCGGGGGGCCCCCAAAAAGCCACAGTTTCCCGGAGAAAGTTGGGTGGTTATGGGGGGGGGAAGGGAATTTGGGGGGGGGGGGGGGGGGAGGTAGAAGTGAGAAAAAATAAAGACAACATGCAAAACAACAACAGGGTAACCGTTACACGGCACTGGACAACAGGCCACAGACGTACGACCTCTACAAAGGTGAAAGTGATTCACTGTCGGGTACGAATGTGCGGCTCTCACACACGCTTTATTATCACGAAACGAAAGAAAGTGCGGGAAGGTTAAGGTGTAGCTCCAGCTCTGGGGATGAGTCGTAACGCACTCATACTACTGTACTTCGTGATACCGACAGCTGTGCGGTTGAGACATCGGTTCACCGACAAACATCAGCCCGGCTCGATCTTTTTGCCCCCACCACGGCGAGCCAATCAGTTGGCCTTAAACACTATCAGGATGCTGGTGTTGCGGACCTTTCCCGCACCATCGTGTGATGTAGCGCACCGCACAAAAAGAAAACCGCAGCCGGGGAAAAGCAAGGCGCCCCTCGCGCGTGCGGCGGCCGCGGCGGCTCGGCAGCGCCCCGGAAACGGTCAAGGTGCTGGAGCACATCAAACAAACAACACTCACTCCAGCACAATGTGCAGGTGCTCCGACGTCTGGATGGTGTCGATGTACTGCACGATGTTCGGGTGGTTCAGCTTTTTGAGGAGGTCGATCTCGCCCTGAAAAAAAAGCAGAAGTTTCGAAAGCGGTGGCGGTAGCGGGTGAATTGCAAAGGCCGTACACACAGGCGGGGGGAGGGGGGGGGGGGGTGTACTCATAGTCGTGCATGCCGTAGTCGTTAAACCATTGACCTCGCATCCCTACAAAGCCGGGACGGAGCACGCCGGGTTCTCACCGGACCAGGCTCTAGGAGGAGGGGGGGGGGGGTACATCTGCAGGGGGCGGCTCCCAACTTTGTTGTATCTACAGCACGCAATCACGGCGGGGTGAGCTTGGTGAGAGGGCGCCACCCTCGCAGCGGCTACAAAGGGCGAGTTCGTGCACGCATGTGGCGAGGAGAGACGAACACAACAAACGCTGTTCGACTTGCCGGACGTGAGGTAATCTACAACTCTAACGTGTGATTTAACACAGATAAAACCGTCCTGAGCTGCGTGTACCAAAGTAGACACCTCTGCAATACACGATGCTAAACCTTAACAGCATCGAGAAACGACCGAGGCCAAACCCCGAACCAAGAAAGGTGCGTGCAAGAAGAGACACCGGGGAGGAAAAGCCCTTCCGCTTGCCAAAAAGAAACCGAATCTGCACACCACAAGAAGGCGCACCGAACCAGGTCAACACCACTCAACACAACAAGAGGCAGGTCGTAATCGCTGAGACTCAGAGACTACCAAGAGGTGGAGGCCAAAAGCCCAATGTTGGCAGGTCGAAATATCGAGCGAGAGAACAAAAAACACGACCCACAGAGTTATCACATCCCCGGCACAGAGCGAAAGGGTGTGTTCAACGTTGGGATTTTGCCACACAGCCGGGCCCTTGGAGAGCAATACGCGTGCGGGCGATACACATAAAAAAAAAAACACGCCAAGCTGCGCAGGTGGCTCCAAGAGAGGGCGCATTCTTCGGAGATAGCACACACCAGCTCGTGTCAGGCAACAAAAACAACAACCCGAAGATAATCCTCCTCCTCTTCCCCACGTACAGCAACAGGCCCTTTCACCTTTATCGAAGCACCCGCGTCAAGCTTGACGCTGTCCATCTCCATCCTTTTCACCGCCACGAAGTCACCCGTAGCCGTGTTGAGGGCCTGAAACACGACCCCGAACCCCCCGCGGCCGATCTCCTGCCCGATTTGCTGCTCGCCAACAGGAGGAACCGTTCCATTCCATGCGTGCCCGTCAAACCGCAGCACGCAAGCGAAAACAAACGCAGCATTTTTTAGGTTCACGAAGACGAAAAAAAGGACAAAGGGTTGCGGTTGCCGCCTTGTCCGTTCAAAACACATTCCTCAAACGTGACTCCGTTATTCACCGCAGCATGCAGAGAACTGGCGGCGACATGCGGAGTGCTCATCGCGTCTTTCGGAAAAAATCGATGGAGATAATCCGCTTGCATAGCTCGGAGGTCGGCGAAATGAGATCAATACGCAGAGGGGGCGGGCTTTCTTCGCAGAGGACGAAGTAAACATACATGCAACACTTGTGCGGCGGGCGGTGGCATTCTTCGACACGGGTAAGAACCGCATCCGCACACAAATGCTTCGCACCCAGCAGTGGTAAAGGTTGTTGGCGGCTCAGAGACGCGTCTTCCCGGGGCTTGGTACAATACTGTACCACACCGGGTGGTGCACCGGACCCTGAAGCTCCCAGTACTTCGGTTACAGCTTTCATTTTTCTCTCTCTCGCAGAAGGGCGGCCCTATCTCAGACACGACGTCGCACGTGCGAGCTTGCCCTTCCGCGCCATTGACAAAACGTTTAACGAAAAGACAGCGGAATGGACATTACCGCTACAACAGCTGTAACGCCAACTACCCCCCCCTCCCCCCCGCCAAACAAGAGAGAGAAACGCGGTAATGGTTTGGGAGGGTCCAGCCATAAATGCGCAGTGTTGTAGAAATATACGTGAGGGAGCACCTGCAACTGCCAACGGGGCATCGCCGATTCGGCATTTGATCAGCTTCGCCATTGTCACACACAGGCAAGCCGACTACTACTGTACCGTAAAAAAGGCGGAGAGATGGCACCGGGTGCGATCATATAGATAAATGTTTGTTTATCGGGAATTTTTTCGCACCACCCCGGTGCGATCAGGGTTCAAGGAGTACCTACATGGACCAATGGATGCAGGGACGAAGCTGAAGGTCAAATTCAGGACCGGGGATATTGGCTTTCGAGAACGCAGACGAAGAAGATACAGGAAGGTAGACGATGAAGACGACGACACGTTCAAAGTGAATGCGGCTAGGAGTGCGAAGGCCGGGTTCATGTAGTTACGGAATGTCCGTTGTACAAGGAGAGGGAAGTGTACATGGCTGAGCTGGGGAAAGCAGAAGGAAGATACAGGGAGATGTATGAGGCATGGAATAGCCAAAGACCGTAGCTGTACTGGGGCATAGGAGGTGGGTTGACAAGGCGGGAAGTGATATTGATAGGATATTTAGGCCAGGGAAGACATTTTCGAGCCACATTCGGCAAAGTATGAAGGAACGATTGGCCACCGGTGATCGGTCCTGTGGGAACAATGCTCCGTCCTCTCGAGGACGCGTGCTCAATGGTCTAACCGCTAAGGCATGCAAAACATAAGAGTACGCCCCCCCCCCCGGTGCGATCTTTTCGATCCCGGAAATGCAACGAAACAATTTCGATTAGCTTTCCCAAGGCACCCCGGTGCGACCTCTCCGACCGGTGCGATGCGCAATGAAATACACAAAGCGGGCCAGCTGGTGCTCGGCGGTGTTCTAAGCACGCACCCCAGTGCCATCTCCCCGGTCGGTGGCATTTCTCCGCCTCCTCTCAGTATTGGTATCTATAAGCAGACGTGTAGGTACCGTTGCTGCTGGCTGGGAGCACACCGATAACGGCGACGTAGGCTGGTTCGTAGCAGCTCTCCATGCAGCGAGTGGTCATGGGGGTTTGAATACGAGTTTGGCTATGGCGTGACAAGAACAACAAACGATGTGGTTTCCGTCAGGGGAACTGGAACACACGGTCTGGTGGTCTCCTGCTTTCGTTTCGGTCTTCCCCTCTACGAATACCAATATGTGTGCATACGAAGCGTAGAAATCGTTGTGTAATGGGGTTGTTGTATGTTGCGTTGGCAATTTCCACACAATTTCCACACCAACAAAAATAACACAACTCACATCCCGCGTAAACCGCGAGCGTACATGCATGCAGAAAGGACTGGAGCTCCGCTGATGATACCGTCCCCACAGGTACCCACAAGTACCTCTACCCGGCAGCTCAAAAGAGAGCTCAATTGGATTTGGGGGTCGCCGGGATCTCGCACCGGGTGCGATCTCACCGACCCCAATGCGGGAATCGAACTAAATCATGCCGTTCTTGGTTTTCGTTGCGCACCCCGGTGCCACCTCCCCGACCGGTGCCATCTCTCCGCCTTTTACGGTTACCCCCGTAGGTCCTGACCTTACCAAGGTACCAAAATATCTCCGAAAACAGCAGTCCAATCCTTGCCCCTTTTTCGACTGGAGCGTGAGTAGATATTCAGATTGAAAAGAATGCAAACAGCGATACTCGTGGAAGCGGCAGTTTCTTGAGAGAGCCTACAAAGTGGCACCCGCAAGGTCAGCCGGTGATGCCTTCTTTTGCCGCAAAGCACACGTTTGACTCACATAGGAGACGTCCCCGCTGGTGATCCGAGTCGCTGCTTCCAATCCCCCCCTGGTTCTGCGACGGTCAGACCTAGCAACCACCTCCTTCTTATCGCTCCTCCGCGCGCCGCCCCCGCTCCCTGCCCCTGCCCCCCCTGCTGCCCGTTGGGGGCTTCTGTTGTTGCTGCTTCCACTGCTACTGCTACCAGCGCTGATATTTGTGTTGTTGCTGCTGCTGCTGCTCAAGCTCGATTCTCCTTGCTCTGCGGTGGGATGAAGCCCGACCCCCGCCAGCGCCCCTCCTCCGCTCCCTTGCCTTTGCTGCCCCGCTGCTGCTGTCATTTTCGCTGCTGCCGTGCTCTTCCTCGAGATGTAGCCCGGTCGATTGCCGCTCGCACCCCCTCCGGGTCTCCCCGCTCGGGTCGCAGCCCCCGGCCTGGCGGCGCTTGAAGTGCCTGCCTTTGCCTCCGCGGGCTTCTGTTCACCACGGCTTGAAGGGCCTGCTGTTGCTGCTGCTGGCAAGGGAGAAGCTCTTGCACCGATGCTCGAACTCCCATTCGTGCCGCTACTGCTGTTGCGCTCCTCCGCCGCCGAGCGCCGCCGCTCGCCCGGTCGCGGCCGCCGCTGTGGCCGGGGGCTCGCTTGGCCCCCGCCGTCCTCGCTGGAGGAGCTAGGCGGGAGCGTGCTCCTGGAGGACGAGCTGCGAGACATGGCAGAGCCGCCGACACCGCAGTTGCTACCCCCAGGCTGATCGGTGTTGCTCGCGGCGGCTGCTGCGACGGCTTTGCCTACTCCCGCGGGTGCCTCCGCCCGTCGTCGTGGTGGTGCCGCAGTTGCTGATGTTCCTGTTGCTGGCGAGTTTGACGATCTATGCCATGGTATTCTCTGCTTCGGCGACGGTCTGCTTCCCCCGTCGCTGGAGTTTTTTACAGGCGTTGCTGGTACTGTCGCTGTCGCTGTCGCTTGTGCTGGTGCTGGTGCCGGTGCTGGTGACCCACCTGCCGGCGGTGGTACCGGCGGCGCTGGTGGCGGATTGCTCCCGTCTGAACTTGAACGAGGACTAGGACTGATCGAGCGACGCCAGGGCATATGCGGATGCATGATAGGCTATCCCTCAGTTGGCGGTCTACAACAGCTTTGCAAGTAAAACCCCGCCAGACACCCGCGCTCTCTCTCTGCTGCGTCTGTCTTTGTGCGGAGCCGCTGTCGGGCTCCACCACCAGAGGCACCGCGAATCGCCTTTTTCGTGTGCAACGGTACCCCGCTCGATTTTCGCCCCGTGAATCGCGAAGAACACTTGCATGCACACTAACAACCCGCAATTTTGAAACCCACCAATCTATGGAATATGACAATAAATTAAAGTATTGCTTTATTGTCATATTCCATAGATTCGAACCCCTGACCTGACCTCTAGAAGGTGTCGCGGATACCAACTAGACCACCGGGCATACATATATTATATATGTATTTCTCTCTTTTTCTGTGTGAGATGGCCTTGTCTCTGCTTGCGTGTGAAGCAGCAGCACCAAGATTGAACCAACCAAAGGGGGGGGTGTACCTCTTTCTCTCTGGCCCGTGATGCTGACTCCTAGTCTATATTCTCAGTTGTTACCTCGCACAGCGCGGGGAGGGAGCGGAGGACTCCAGAATATCTGTCTCGTTGATATCTACTGGTGGTATTATTGACTTGCGGACACCCCTCGGGGCCAGTTTGTTTGAGCGTACTACATTTTTATAGGGTAAAAGTTCGATCGCGTCATCATGTGTTGGATCAGTACGGACATATATATATATATATGAATGTACTGGGTAGAGAGAGATCGGAACGGTTTTTAATGTGAAGACAACAACAAAATGTATACAATCTGTATATATATCTCGCTCGAATGGGTAGTCTTTCTGTGTTTGTATTTTCCTAACAATTAATTCTGGACGCAGCAGCACCCGACAACTTCAAATAAATATATAATAAAAGGAGTTAGACCCATGTTTATGGTCGCCAAATCTTTGCGAAAATGTTTATATTTTCAAACATTTGCGGACAAAGATTTTGTTTCACTGTTTATGGGAGAAAATCTTCGCCAAAATATTCTCAAACATTTTGAAATGGGGCAAAAGTCGCTCGTTTGACAAAATATTCTCAAACATTTTGAAATGGGGCAGGTCGCGAAAATGTTTCCCAAGAGCGGCGGGATTAGTAGACGACCGCCCCTTCCGTCCTAAACACCAACCACTGCGTAGCGCACACTCAACGTAGCAAGCTCATAGAGGGATCCGGACAACCCTAGAGTCACCGTGTCAATGTTTTGCCGGCTGATACATGGCGGGAGCTCGTCAAGCGTGCACAAAAAAACAAACAGACAGGGGTGGTTTGGAGGGCACGGAGAAAGCGTGGTTTGTGTCTCCAAACGGCAAAAAGTCGGCTGCTTGAGAGGAGAGGTGAGTACAAAACTATCCAGCTCTCGTCCTCTAGACCATCGATTCATGTTTTGTCTTCTTGGGTGTCTTCTCCAGCAACGGCTCTCATCCGGGTGTGCGTGGTTCAGCAGTGGACTTACTCATCAGGCAGGGAGGCGCGTCGCTGTGAACTCGATGTGTTGAAAAAGTCTTTTTTGGGACGGAGGAACAAGGACTCTATATTCAAGTGAAAAAATAGACCGAAAAAAACGT